TACTACGGAAATTATACCGGATTTCACCAATCTCATAACAACAAATACACCACTCTATCAGTATCAGCAACAATCATCACACTCTACTCTAATCAATTGTTCCTTAAACTATATCTCAGAAGCTATATCATGATCATTACCCAAGCTACAGAGGTTACACAAAATCTCACCAATACTCATGGTCATTATCCAAACCACAAAGGTTATATAGGAACTCACCAACATCGTAACAATGTACAAATTTCATCACCATCAACAACAACAACAACAGGCATAATGTTATAAATTCGTGTTCATCACTAATATTACAGGAATTACACAGAATCCCACAATCATCATAAAATGTATGCACAAAACTCTTCAATCACAGCAACATTCATAAACACAGACATAATATCATATATCAATCATAATCATCAAATTCCTACGGGGTTAAGGAATCCTCTCTACCCAATTTCATGCATTATACCAATCCCAATCAGTTTCTCCCCCCTTACCTGGATAATTGTTCTGATCGGTGAAGAGTCCTCCCAAGATTGGATAGCCTTGACCTTCTCTCTTCTCCCCCGTTCTTCGCTCTTCTCCCAATTCCCCCTTCTCCCGTTCTATCGTGTCTTCTCACTTCCCTCTTTCTAACTCCCTAATAACCTCTCACCTCCTATTTCCTTTTTAGTTTCTAATCCCAAATAATAATATTAAAATAATATCACTAATAATACTAATAAAATAAATAGTATTATAATATACATAATATTATTAATAATAATATTAGTTCACCAAAATCATAACGTTAATAATATTAGTAATAATATTCCACCAATAATATTAATACTAATAATAATAATAATAATAATAATAATAATAATAATAATAATAATAATACCACCAATATTATTATTATCTATTATATTATTATATTCACACCAATAATCCTCCCATATTAGGGACACTCGCCAAACATCATCCAACACATCCCCACAAAAAGGGCACACCAACATATATCAATTAAAATAATAATAAAATGACTAAATAATTAAAATGGGTGTTACACATTCAAATTGATTTTGGGATCGATGATTAATACTTCTAAGAGCTATTTGTTTGTATTGAAGTTGAGGATTCCTTCACGTTGGTTGCAACTTGGTTTTTAGCTTGTAAGTAGGGAAGGTTTCCTTGGTCTTACAAAGGCGTGCGGCATTTTGGAAACCCATTATCGACAGACTGAAATCTCATTTTTCTTCTTAGAAGGGCAAAATGCTATCCATTGGCAGGAGATTAACTTTTTTAAAACCAGTGTTGACAAACCTTCCTATCCACTATCTCTCAGTCTTCAAAGCACCGATTAAGGTTGTGGACCAAATAAGAACCTTACAACGACGATTTCTTTGGTCGGGTTTGTTGGAGAAAAACAGTTTGGTACTTATTAATTGGAGTACCGTATGTAAATCAAAGGAATTGGGTGGGCTAGGAATTAAAGATACTGGTGCTTTCAACATTCCATTACTATCTAAATGGTTGTGGAGGATTATATCAAATGATCAAGCGTTGTGGCGTAAAGTTCTCTTGTCTAGATATGGAAAATTATGTTCTAGAATTCTATCCCATGAGGATTTTATTCCTAAAAGAAAACAATCGATTTGGTGGCGAGATTTGATGCGTGTGGCGGATTCTATGGAGGAAGGTAGCTTTTCAAGGGTTGTGACATGTAAACTTGGTGACAAAAGCGATATACCGTTTTGGAATTCAAGATGGATTAGAGGCTCGACTTTGAAGGTATTATTTTTTGCTGTTGTAGTAAATAAAGATGGGCCTGTCTTGGCATTTGGACATTGGATTGGTAACAATTTCTTGTGGAACATCGACTTCATGAATGGCATGACAGGTGAGGATGTCGTGCGCGAGTACCATGAACTGCTTTGGATTTTGCAAGGAACAAAACTTGTCATTCACTATCATGACAGTTTGGTTTGACCTATTTCATCTAATAGTGAAATCTCGGTAAAATCGTGCTATGAGTCTTTGCAACACAGTTCAATTGGGCAAGTTTTTGAGGTTGATTGTAAGATTAGGGGTGCTCAAATAAACCAGTTATTTAAATAATCCATATCCATATCCAAATCCGGTTAATTATTAGTATGGTTTTAACCAAATCCATATTTTGGATATATTTTTAATATGGTTTTAACCAAATTCATAATTTTGACATCCATATCCAAAACAAAAACCAAATTAGTCAATTTTTTTAAATAAAAAAAAACTTTGAAAATTTTTTTTTGAAAGAAAATATTGTTTTAATTTTTTTCAATAAATAAAAATTTTTGAAAAATTATTTATTTTTAAAATTTTAAAATAACTATTGTTTTTTTTGAACATCAATTTTAAAATAAAATTAATTCAAAACTAATTATAAAATTGGTTATGGATATAACCGGTTTATAACCATTTTAAAAGATAAAAACCGGTTATGAAAATTGGTTTTAATAACTTTGGCAATGTAAGATGGCGTTGAAATTACTTTGGCAATGTAAAATTTATTGAATGTGAAAATCTTCTCTTGGCGGTTGTTGTTGGATAGGCTACCTACCCGCTCGAATCTGGTCCGTAAAGGGATAATCTCGAACGCTCACAAAAAGGTATGTGTTTTTTATTTTCGTAGTATGAAGAATAATAATCATCTTTTTTTTACGTGCCCGAGAATTTGTATGGTTTCGAAGAAGGTTGCATATTATGTTAGAATGCATTGTTTGGTGGAACGGGAGTCTCATCGACACCTTTTTGAATGAGCGGTTTCTTTGTTGCGAAGTTGCTCAAAGCCTACTGCATGTTTAATATGGTTTGCATCTTGTTGGTGTATTTAGCATTCTAAATCATATTATTTTTGACAAAGAGATGGAAAATTTGGACGTTATAGTATAGTAGATAGAATTATACTCTCTTCTTGGTGGCATATTTCACTTAGACATAAACACAACCTTAAGTGTTCCTATTATGAATGACTCAAATGCCCTATTAATTTTTTGTAATTGATTTCATTAGATGTTAAAATTAATAGCAGTGAATATTGTTTATTAGGTTGGAGTACCCTTAGTATTCCCTATTAATATATTATTTCTTGCCTATAAAACAAATATAGATTTACATAATTTGTGTTTTGTCAATGGAATTTACTAGGTCCATTTAAAATTTACTTTAAACAAAATATAAAATGAAAGTTAATATTTATCATTTTCAATTTTGATCCAAAATTCAAGTGTCCAAGTGAACCTACAACTAAGCATCTTTAATGTGAGTAAACTAAATGGATAAACTAAGATATTTTTTGTGGGCCCAAAGTGTTTTGTAGGATTTAAAAAATTTATAGTTGATTTGAGTAGTTTTTACTTTAACGATGATTGTTTATAAGAAACCATAACTTGACCCCACTATTTTCAAATATCATGCCAGAAATATTTTATTAATTAAATAAATAATATTATAATATATTTCAAATAGTTAACGTTAACTATATAAATAATGAAAACTAAATTTTAGTTCACTTAGATGCCATGTCAGCTCTACTATAATGCAAATTTTTTATTACTAACGTAAGCTATACAAATTTTTGAATGACCTTTTTTTGAAAAGGAGGTTTTATTTTTTAAAAAACATACAATAATATATTTTTAAAAATATATATTTTAGTTTACATTGATTAAAATATGTATTTGGAAGAAATAAGCCAAAAGGTATATTATCGTAGGAGGAAATAACATTATAAGGAAATTCAACATATCAATTTTATTTTTTAAAAATCAGTCAATTGTGTCAAAAAATTAATTGGCCAAATATATATATATTTCCAGTTAAATTATTTAAATTCTCTTCGTTACAAACTCATACCTAAATTGTCTTAATAACAATATCTCGGAATATTTTTATACTACTTTTTCATATTATTATTATAAACCAATGAATAAAAGAGTGACATATTTACGGTGTAAATTTTTCTTTTCACTATTAATCAATAACGACCATGCATCCTACTAAGTCATAACAAATATATTTAATTTATATATAGAAAACAAAATTTATTAATTTAAGTTACATAGTACTAAAAAATAATAATTAATGGTCGTCTTCTAAAAAAGAAATTATTTTTTTCTTTGAAAATGTTATATTAAATTTAGTAATATTTCTCTAATTTTTATTGTAAAATAATTAATTATTTAAATACATTATATCTTTTTGAAAAACAATTGAAAGAAATATATCAAAATGGCAGAGTATTGTATAATTACAAGAAAAATCAACATTTTTACATTTTTCATTATTCGAGTCAAAAAATGGGTCAACTATATATATTTTCAATTTAAATTGTTTAATTGTCTTCATAACAAACTTTAATATCTAAATTGAAGAATTTATGCTATACTTTTCTGATCTTTGTTATAAATAAAAATTTATATTTATACGCATTCAATAAGTAATTGGTGTATTTAGACTATATAAAATAAATACATTTTGGTTAGTCAACAAACTTAAAAAGAAATAAAATAGTGATTGGTGTACCAATATAACCCATAATTAATCTATAAATTATAAATACAACGAATCACCTTCCAGTGTGAACAAAGTTGCGTCCAGTTTTGTATTTGGCCATAACTCCAAACAACAAGCCAGAGTTAGAAAGTTTCGATTTGCACACGCCATTCTACCGCCAATATGAAAGCAGTTACTAAACAGAGCCATGGTTAGTTAAAATAGAAGCACCGACATGTCACAATCATATGCTGCGTTTTCACATTGAAGTTGGAAACCAAACCACATAATTATTATTGCATGATAAGCATATCCTATTACGATACTCTTTTTGGTTATTACCTCTACTTTCAATTTATTTTGATTCTTCAGTTTCTTCCTATAAATACATCCATCCGTTCAAATCATTCCATAATTATCACACTCACTCAAGAGCCATATAAACCTCAGTAACTCTTTGGAGAATTACATCAGTCCCAAAAATGGAGTCCAAAGGGTCAATTTTAATTAAGTTTCTCATGTTTCTTCAATTATCAGTTCTATGTCTTTCACAGCAACAAGATTTTGATTTCTTCTACTTTGTTCAACAGGTAACATAAAGTTCACTTCAATTATCATGAACATGATTTTAGTTCAGATATGAGTTTGATGAAATAATTGTTTGTGATTTTTGCATTTGTAGTGGCCAGGATCATACTGTGATTCACAGAAGAGTTGTTGCTATCCAACAAGCGGTAAACCGGCGGCTGATTTTGGTATTCATGGTTTATGGCCTAATTACAGAGATGGCTCTTATCCATCTAACTGTGATCCAGATAGCCCTTTTGATCAATCTCAGGTACTTTTTCATTCTTCACAAATTGCATTTTTATATCATATATATGTTTTCATTCTACTAACTTGTTGTGTTTGTGTATATGGTTGTTACAGATATCTGATCTCACAAGTAGTTTACAGAAGAACTGGCCCACACTAGCATGTCCAAGTGGAAATGGAATACAGTTTTGGACACATGAATGGGAGAAACATGGAACTTGCTCAGAATCAAGCCTTAAACAACATGATTATTTTGAAACAACTCTCAACTTGAAACAAAAATCAAACCTGCTCGGTGCTCTTTCAAGGGCAGGTAAATATCCGCACACAAAAAAAGAGTATTATTATATAGAAATTTACTTTTGATATTTCAAGTTACTCACAAAACATTGATTTTATATGTCAGGTATACAAGCCGATGGAGGCTCCTACAGCGTGAGCAGTATCAAAGAAGCTATAGAAAAGGGAGTTGGGTTTGCTCCATTCATTGAATGTAATGTCGATTCATCTCGTAACAGTCAGCTATACCAAGTTTACTTGTGTGTCGACACTTCTGGAACAAACTTCATTGACTGTCCTGTTTTCCCTCATGGCAAATGTGGAACTGATGTTGAGTTCCCATCTTTTTAAATATCGGTTTCTATGACAATAATATATCTTATAGCTTATTTATCATCTTTGTTTACACCTTGTTCTTTACATGTGTGTAATTATATATAATGTAATTGAATTTGAACTTGAATGGTATATTAGTGAGATGATTCCATATATTTATCATCAATTTAAGATTTTGAGTGGAGTCGTGATATCAAAACACTCTTGTGTGATTGTTAACCTAGTGTTTTGGAAAACAATCTGAGTCACCCACCACACTCAAACAGTCTGCACCAAGGAAAAAAAAAAGAAAAGAAAACAGAAGAAAAACAACATAATTAGAAATAGTCTGCCTAAAGCCAAAACCACCCAGACACACCGTCCTTGCACGTACCAGAAATAACTAACAACCAGCAGTATAACTCCAAGACTAAACAGGCCCAACAAACTATCAAAGCCTGCTAACAGAAACTTCACTCTTTGACGTATAGTTGATACCTGAAAAGCCAAAACAGAACATACAAACCGCAATACAAGACCAGCCAGATAACATCAAAGGGAACACCACAACGCTCAGGGGGAGAATCCCAGCGCCCTCTTAAATTCCAGCAACAAAGCAACCAAAACACTCCAATACTACGCAAAACAATCCCAAGTCTCATCAACATTTCCACCCTAAGCACTCCTTTTGATGTGTGATCCATTGATTAAAATAATAATTGAAACCTTCGGTATTTGTCTTTAACCACCTCCAGAACAGAACCTAAATGTCATAAATGTAACTATCCTTTTTCGAACCGCTGTTTTGAAAATCATTTCGTTCCTCCTTTTCCATATGATCCAAAACACGCGTACCAAATTGATAATGCTCTCTCTTTTACTGTATAAGAAACGTAAGTTATACGGAGCCCTCTTAAGACCTCGCTCCAAGCCACAAAAACTGACTGACATTCAAAGAAAATGTGAGGGACATTTTCCTCTTTACCGCAGTCTAAAGGGCAAGAATTTTGAGATTCAACTAAGACACCCCTACAAACTAAGTTATCTCCGCTTGGAATCTTGTTTTTCCAAATTCTACAAGCCAGAATCAAAATTTCAAATGAAACTACATTACTCCACGCCTCCTCCAACTTATTATTGTCCAGTATTTGAGAAATCATCCCCTCCAAGATCACTTAATACACATATTTAACCGGGTATACATTCCCTTATCATTTTCATTCATCCTTACTACCCTCCCTCAACGAGATAATAACTATCAGTCGCACCTCGAAAAATCGAAAATACGACCCTCGCGCAAAAGGTGCAGAATGCGATTCGACATAGTCGCCACTGAATTTTATTCATCTCAAAAGAGGGAAAGGAAAATATCGAGAAAACCTTTTAAAGAGATAAGAACATGGTCGTCTCAACCACATTCTAGATTCGAGAATCAGTTATGTAAGGGAAGGTATTCTCACCCCTCACGTTCGTTGTATTCAACAGAAATCTCTTAGTTCGATTTGTGATGAGCGTTATCTAAGCTTGTTTGTTTTCTTCTCAGTGATAAATGTGAAACGGTAAGATAAAAGGAAATCGATGCTAAGGAGAAATTGGTGGTTTTAGGATAAGGTGTTCGCCAAAGATTGGAGCCCTTGTGCCTACGTATGCTCATTCAAACGAGAATGAGGAATCAGGGCTTTTGTAGTTCGACTACGAGAAAGGTTTGGAAAAGAAAAACAGAAGATGGATGGAAGGTAGGCCCAAACGGAGGGAAAAGAAATAGGCAGCTCACCAAGATCATCGCAATCTTGTGCCTACGTATCTTTATTCAGAAGAGAATAAAGAATCAGAGTGTCTGTGGTTCGTGGATACGACCACGAAAAGAGAGGGTTGAATTTGAGGAATGAAAATTTGAATGACAAATAACCCAAGGGGCGTGCCTCGAGAGCAGTCATTCAAGAATCCAAGGAATGCAAGATTCAAAGAATTCTGTTCTTTTGGTAGTTGATTAGAAAGGTTTTGAGAAGGTTGAACGTTTTAAAGTCGAAAGATTGAGTGAATAACCACCCAAGGGGCGTGCCCTGAGAGCCATTCACTCGAAGTGGCTCGACAACGAATCGAGAATTAGTTTGAAAATTGTTTAGTCTATGTTAATCCCTAGGGGTGTTCCTAGTAAACAAACCACAATATAAGAAAAACTAATGCATACATCAGAATGGGAGCGGGGTAAATGTAAGTTACACGAAATTGCACGAAATAAATGGTCTCATTATCAGGTAACCCAAGAGGAAGTCGTGTGTGCGCAAGGTGTCTTAAACTAAGCCACGAGCAAGATTCGGATAAAATCTCCATGATAGGATTTTTGTACACAGTCCAAGTTCCGTTGCTTGGAAAAGTAACCATAGTCCACCAATTTAGGTTTTTAGGGTTTCGATTGTTATTAGTGTGTTTTCGAATAATATGAACTAAGTATGACTAAGATGATTATGAATATGACATGAACAATATGAATATTAATAATAAACAAGATAATATAAATAATATAATTAAGATAATATTAACAATAGTATATGAACAATGATATAATTGAGATATATTGACAATAAAGTAAATCAAGAGTACATTGACAGAAATTAAAGCAAGAGTATATTAACAAAAATTAAAGTTAGTGGTTAGTGATTAATCGGATGAATCGGGTCGACTATAGCGCTAAACCATCGTAGCATGATCTATGAAGAAAATCATACTATAGGAGGTCGTGCACGTATGATATTTGTGCTTAAACACAATGGAGAAATGATATTGTGAATTAATCTCCAAAGAAATCATGCCACGCGAAAAGAAAAGGGAGCGTCTCGTCTTAATCACAAACTTTTGTCAATTAATCAAAGGCAACCTATCACGATTCCTAAGTATAGAAAATGACCTCGGTGATCATTCACTACAGATTTGAAATAATGAAGGTTAAAAAACCTCAACAATTGACATTCGTAATATTAAATACTTTCATTGACCAAGATCTAAAAAGAACATAAAATCGAAACAAAAAGAGAAAAGGAAATCAAAATGAGATAAAAGAAAATGGTCTAATCTAAATCATGGATTTTCATCGATGACTCGATAATCGACGACTACCTAGATGTTCATCAACCAATAATAAAATTAAAATCGAAAATGGAAAACAAAAATGGAAGTAGAATTTAGTTGAGAAAACCTAAAAAATGATTAGACAAAAAATCAAATAAGAAATACCAATTAAAATTTAGAAAACTTAAAGAAACTTCAAGCATTAAATTGAATAAATAAAATGGAGGGTTGCCTAAGAAACAAGATGGGTGCTTATATATGGATATAGGGGAACCCTTTGGGCCTAAAGCCCATCATCCCATGGTAGAAAACCAAAAGAAATAAAATAAAAAAACTAGCAAATGGACACACGGGCAAGAGAAACCCCATCACCCACGACCAAAATCCATCAAACATAATCAGTATGATCAAAGCGTCTAAACAAAATTGAAAAGCCATCAGGTTTCAACAACCACACATTAGTATATACGAATTGAAAATGAACAACATTCTTTTTCCAAAAAAACATCATAAATCAGAACACCAACACAACAATGGCAGAACCACCTCCTTTGAGGCTTCGCTCGACCTTGCTCGCGTTTGGATCCTCTGTGATTTCTTTCGTCTAGGTTTGTCTTTGTTTAGTTCTTCTTCTTGTTTCTGATTCGATTATGAGTGGTTGTTTTGAATCTCAGTTTCCTTTCATCTCAGTCTCTCTCTTTCTATCTAGGTTTTGTGAATTTGATTGAAAATTGGGTGTGGTTTGTTGAAGGATTGCGGTTGTGGGTTTTATGAATTTGAAGGTTGGATGAAGAATTTGGCAGGATTTCTGTGGTTCTGTAGAACTTCCCCAAATCAGTGTGAACAGGTTGATTTTTTATAGAGTGAATTTGAGGGTAAAATGGGAAGATTTGAGAGGAAAGGGTGAGCTGGAAATTTGTGACATTTTGCGAATTCGTTTTTGTGTCGTGGTTGTGCAGTTTGTGTTAGGAAATTGGTGGGTAGCTGAAAAAATGCGTGCGTAGTGGTTTTGAGTAAATTTTGGTTTTTTGTCGTGTTGTGTTTTTGATCCAGCGTGTAGCTTCAAGATGAGGGTATTAGTTATGGTTAGTCGCCTTGCAAGTTTCTTAGAAAAGGTTTTCGTGTGGGTCCCCAAAGATTTGACAATTGACGGAGGTGTTAGTTTTGCAAATTGGCTTGTCTATTCACATGTTGTATATGACTTGGTTTAATGCTTATGATTATGCTAGAGTAATTGGGAATCATTTGGCTTTTGTGCGTGTTGCAGGTACAGGTCGAAGGAGGGTGCGAATGGTTACACAAATCATGTCGTTTTGCACACAGTTTTAGCTGCTGTGAATGTTTGTGTTTAATGGTTCGTGTGTACTATCACGATGTAAGGTTAGTTTGATGTTGGTGGTTGTAAGTGCTCTTGATTGGCTGCATTTTGTGGCAAAATATAAGTACATTGATGAATGTCATGCTTGATGTTATTACATTCATAATATGGACTGTGCAGGGTAAGTTAACTAAGCTAACTATAAGTTAAGCTGGATGTCATACTCAATGGTACGACATAGGTCGTATGACATCAAGCAGAAGTTTGTTTTTCTGGTAGCTATAACTCAGGGAACAACTCAGAAGCTCAGGCTGGAATGCAGGAGACACTTTAGACGCCCTAGGGGAACTAAAATGTACCTGATTAAAGAGGCAAGCGTGCAGAATACATAAGTGAGGTTTTATGATGGATAAAACCTAATGTATGCGCCCAGGCCCAAGAACTGATCTATTGCTACAAATACCAGGAGAGGCAATCCTAGAAGGCAGCTGTTGAAGATAGAGAAGCATAGAAATCACCATAAGGGTTTAGAAGTAAAGAGGGTGTTCTTCACGTTTGTGTCTTAGAAATACGTGTAACCCAAGCAATTGGTGTGTGCATTGGTTAGGTAGTTTCTAGACTGTGTTACACTCGAAGCTGTTAAGCAAGA